AGCGCGAGCTCCTGCCGCCGGCGAAAAGGGCGGGAAGCTGCCGCCGGGCCGCGGGAGGTGCCGAGGGTGTCCCTGCGCCCTCAGCGCGAGCATCGTAGGGGCTGCCTGAAATTACACTGGACAGCATTGGAGGTGGGACGTGGGCCTTAATTTCTGACTCTTGGAAGTGCCCTTGTGTAGCATTAAGCAATATTTGGCACATGATCCGAGTTCAACATAAAATACGTATTTGCAAACTTGTTTATTGGTGGGTTTGTATCTATCAGGTGTAAGCAGATACTACCTCTGAAAGCAGAGAAAGCCATTTTATGTAGGCACTTTCAGAAATTAAAGATTCCAATAACTAGTTTAGTACCCGAGAACAATGTAGAAATAGTTGACCAAAGAGATACTAGAATTAGAAATAATAGGACAATATTAAAGAAAACTCAGTGTAAGATCTGTAAGGACGATGGACTAGCATTCTCCACTGACTGCAAGTAGTAAGATTAATAGCTATACTGAAATAACTCTTTGTTACACAATAAAAATATACTTCTAGTCACCTGGCACCCAAAATATAGTTGCAATAATCAAAAGTTTTTGTGGTAACTAGAACAGTAGCTCCTTCTTCTGTAGCTGGTAATGGAAAGGAAGTTTCGCAGCCAGTCTGAGGTGTTACCAAGCCACAGTCACTGCAGGTGCATTCTTCTACCGAATACATTATTTTTTTACTTTGAAGTGAGTGCCCAATTCCTTTTCCGTTCACACTGCTTTCAGTATTAGCCTTGACAATATTATTCTGCTCCACAGAAGAGTCTGTAAATGTACAGAAGTTAATTCAGTACATGCATCATACCAGCCATATAGTTATTCAAAAATCTAATTTTCATTATATTCCGACTATGTTCCTAATCTTAGTGAAAGTTGTAAGATGTAGTTACATATGATAATCTTTTGTTCCATGACAATATGCCTCTTGTACTTCAGGATAAGCATCTCAGCAATCAAACATGTTTTCTAATCAGTTATTATTTATTGGCTGAACACTCCACAAATATTAGTATTTGTAAACTGTAAAATAACTTAATTTTTTCACCTTCTCAAAATATACCACATATCCTTTTTACAGGCTAGAATATTAAGTAAAGTTATTTTATGTCGTAGAAGATGGAAAGCTAATATTGAGTGTGTGTCCTCTACCTGGGTAGAATTCCTTTTGCACTCAATGAGAAGCAGACGAAAGCCTTATAAAGATCTTTTGCTACTGAAGGTTCATAAATGATTTCTCAAACACCAGCAAGAAAACTAGGTACAAATATGCAACAAAACAATCCTGACATGATCCAGAAACAACAGAGATTGCTGTTTTTACAAGTTATTATCTGGATATTTTATTCCCTAATAACTTTTATAGCTTCACTGATACTGTTTGAGGAATACAAAACAATCCAACAAAGACAGTTATCAGAATCTGGAATATAAATTATATGCAAAATTTATACATTTATACAAGACAGCTAAAATGTACCATGACCTAAAATTATTTGATAAAGAATATTATTTATTTACCTGTGGTTTTCACTTTTAGTTGCTTTAGGTGCTTCCATTTATACAAGATCATTACGGTGAACAGAGTGAGCATTAGAACTACTCCTAAGCCCAAACAAATCCAAAGAACTCCATTTGAATCAGTCCCTTAGGAAATACAAGAGATGCATTAAATTAAAGATAAACAATAAAAAATGAACAATAAAAATGTCCAACACATAAAACTTCTTCTATATCAAAGGAGCAATTTCTGTTTCTATTGAGTGACTGCTCAAGTAATGCTTGAGAGCTTTAAAAATTTACTCTTCATAACACACACACACTCATACAGGACACACTGCATATGTTTTTAGTCTGTTTGAGCCCATATATTATTCTGATAAACTCTTTCCACATTTCAGATTTAAGTTTCTGTGTTTAAAGTTCTATGTAAAATACAAAATGAAAACATCCCACATACCCACAAAGTATTGCAGAAACATTACTTACTTTTATGGCAGGAGTTTTCACACGAAGGCGGTGGTGTACTAGAACATCGAAGATGACAAGGCTTACAAGACATCAGCAAATTATCAAAGTATTCGTTTTTGGGGCAGTGTGCCATCAGGGCCAGTAATTATGGAACTGGAAAGCCACAGAAATTGTAGAAGAGTGAGGATCATCTATAAAGGGATTTTCAGTTCTCAGTTTTAGCAAATTTAAGAAAAGCTAGCAATAATAGTTAGACTTCGATCACAGCTCCATTACATAGTATCATGTTAAATGAAACTGATTTAGCTCTGGGGCCCTCAAGGAATTACTGTTCCTTTTTGGGCAATTCACAACTGTAGAAAAACTGAACAGCTGCACCAAGATAATTTTCAATGTAAATTTTGCCTGAAACAGAAAATAGTTATTTATAGAAGACATTTCTTGTACAGGTGCTAAACACTACAAACTGCAGAAAAGCAAAATCTCCAACAGGAGTTCATCATCTCCAACAGGAGATGTTCTCATCTTTAGAATTTTGTGGGGTTTTTCACAGTAACTATGGGCCACAGTAATTATGTTTTCCTGTAATATGCAAACTATACAACACTTACTTTTTGTTCTCCAGTCCAAGGAGTATAAGATGAAAAAAATAGAGGCAGGAGGCATAGCAGCAAGAAGATAAAACCAGTTCAGTTTCTAGGTTTGCCACTTACTCATTCTTTGAACAACTTTCTTTGTACCTGTTTCCCTGAATCGACAATAATACTTAGAACACATGGATGATGAAAGAATTGGTTTTTGTAAATGAATGGCTTTCTGATTTTAAATGAGATACTGTTAAATACAACGATTACTTCATGATTATGTTGTACAAAACACAACTAAGACCCTCAGTTATAATGGAAAGACAAAATCCAGAGATTCAGTAACTGGGAAATTGCTCCTCAGTTCCAAATTAGTCTTATTTAGCTAGTCTTCTTGGGGTTTGTCAGCTTTTTAGCTTGGTTCATTTGGGGGGATTTTAGCTGGTTCTTTTGCTTAAAACCATGATTATATGAGAAATTTAATCAGATGACATTCTGATCATGCTCAGTGGCTCCGTGGTTTGAGATGTGAGCTGCAAGAACTGCAACAGCAAACCGGAGTGGATCTATGAACTTGCCGCTGAAGACAGCCCACGCTACAAGGCCGTGTTTTTCTGGAAAGAGCGTTGGTCCGAGAGAGTAACGGATTTGAGGAGCACGTTCCATCTGACAATTCCTGAAGAGACTTGAGTCTCTCCTTAGGTTCTCTTCAACGTAAACTGAAAAATGAATATTTTATAATTTTAATTCAAACCATTATCTGCATTTTTCCCCTTATTTTTCCATAATGCAGAGCTCTCACTGTACTAAAACTGCAGTACCCAGCATGGAAAAATAGATGGGCAATAGCTTTCATTCTTGTGATAGAGAGTATATGATACCTCCTTCTCAGCCAGGTGATGGGGTGCACTGAGCATCCCTAGATCTGTCTCTGTATATGCACCAACTGTAACATTTCTGAAAATGCATTTCATCTTCTCCCAGGAAAAAAAAAGCTTCGATAACAGACTGCCACAACGAAAATAATTTACCCAGCTTATTTGTATCTTGACTTTTTAACCTAATAGAATTTATATTAAATACAAAGTTAACCAGTAAGACCCAGCAAGTTGCAATAACTGCCTCTATGCAGTTTCACTGCCACATAGAATTACAGGCTTATTTATAGTTTTTGACTGGAAAAAGAGAAAAGAAAAATATTGTATAAGGAATTGTAATTTCATCCCACATTACTATGTATGAGATTTATTTTCCTATCAAATGCACCATGTGGGAGTAGACAAACTGTTTGTAGTGGAAGAGTCTAACAAAGCAATCTATATTCTAGTCTCTAGCAGATGGAACTGCTTAATGTGGTTTCTGCAGGCCAGATGCACAGCTTTAGGCTTTGTATTATGGGGTGTATATTACCCACATTCTGTATCACTGACCAAAGAGTAAAAAAACAATGCTTAGCACTCCAGAAGTAAAAACATGTAGTTTCTTTAGTCAACAAAAAAATGTACACAGATACTTACAAGGTATATTCAAAGGGTGAAGGAGGTAGCTTGCTTTCTTCTAGAAATATTAGAAAATGTTGACTGTCTACCTTCCTGCATATGTGCATGGGTAATATTTTTCTGTTTCTCAGGAACAATACAATGTAATTTTTACTAAAATTTGTTAAGAGCTTCCAATGAAGATTATTAAACCCATGCAAAGGTACCTCAAGGATCATCTGGGCCAAGCTTTCTGGGCAAAAGCACCACCTAGACAAGATGGCCCAGCACTCTGTCCAGTCAGCCCTCAGAAGTGTCCAATGTTGGGGAGTCCACCACTTCCCTGGGGAGATTATTCCAATGGCTGATTGTTCCCACTGTGAAAAATGTTCCTCTTGTGTCCAAAAGGAATCTCTCCAAGAGTAACTTGTACCCCTTACCCCTTGTCCTTTCCATGTGACTCCTTGTAAAAAACGTCTCCATCTTCTTTGCAGCCACCCTTTAAATACTGGAACATGGTGACAAGGTTTCCCCTAGGCCTTCTTTTCTCACAACACAACCACCATCTAAATTAACACCTGACAGTAAGAATACTTTATCTGATGTAGTTGATGCAGATACGATTTCATCCCTGATACTTAAAAATTTCACTTCTGAATGTAAAGTGACACCCTTAAACAACCTTCTGGAAAATACACAGGTTTTATAGTTGAGATTCTTCTGAGATTCAAAAGGAAGTTTGAAGTCAAACTTCAGGCTTCTGTGCTCCACTAAAGCAAAGAAAAACACTTCATTAATAATTTACAAGTAAAATACATTCCAAAAGATACTATTATGCAACAGATGAGATGAATCATTTTTAGCAAACCAGACAGCTCTCAAAACACTGCTCAAAAATTTTTCAAACAACTGTCTTAACTCACATAAATCTAAGGTAGCCTGGACTGGTCTCAATCTGTTTAGGATGGCCTGAAGAAACAAAGAGCTGTAAGTTCATGACATGGACCTATGTTTTCCTGACTAGATCACAGTATTTCTGGACAATCTGGAAAAAAAGAAAGCAAAAGGAATAACATTTTGGTTAAGAAGCTAACATTTATGGAAAAGTAACTGAAGTCTTGATGTGTTCAGTAAAAAGACTCCATAGCTGCGGCTCTTACTGAGGGTAAGACCTTAGCCCACCACGGAAGTACAAATTTCATGAACTAATGTGCCCATGTCTTCATTTAAAAAGCCTGTCAAACTCTAATTGCAGTAGAAATTAATTTCTGTCTAATTATTTGATATTGTGTATATGGGATCATAAGATATTGTGGCTTGCAGTCTCTATAATCAGTGAGCCAGAAACAGTTTTCCTGTGTGGCTAGTTAAGATTTCAAGCACATTTACCATAAGACACAGAAGTAAATACAAAGAAGTCTCATCTTTTCAATCAAACTCTAGGAAACTTCTCATCAAATAAATGGCTCATTTACAGAGCTCTGGGGAATACTGCTGTCTGTTACAGTGATACTTTTCCACCTACGGCTGAGCGCCTATCTCCCAAAGCTTACAGCCTTTAGAGATAAATGATTTTTTTTTGATAGATGTGCCTCAAAACACAAATCCTTCATTATTAAGTGATACATTTTTCACACATAGCAAACTGGGGAGCAGTGATGGTAAAGGGTCTCTAATGTGTCATTCACATAAACAACCACCATGAGTCACCGTCTTTTCTCCTTAGCTATATATAATTTTATTGATGTATGTAATGACAAAACAGGGGCGAGAAATGGTAGAAAAACTATGAGGGATTACAGCTGTCATGGACTGTTGCCTTTGTTTGCTGCTGGCTTTGTTTGCTAACATTCAAAAGTCCTACTTTGCAAGGATCTGAAAGCAAGCGTATAATCAGAAGATCTTGATAAGCAATAAATTCTCAGTGACAGAACTTGCTACACATAAAAACACACATTATTTCAAAATCTATTTCCTGTTTTCACTGACTACATGAGATTCTCCAGAACTGCTTGAAGACAAGTATGTATAGAACAGTTTTGAAATTACATTTTGGGGGATTTGCCTCTAAAAAGCAAATATTTCTTTTCAAAGCAGAAATTAATCCAACAGAACTGTTTCTCAATTCAGTAAAACACTGTGTTCATTCTCAAAAACAAGTGTCAAACTGTGCCAGAAAAAGCCAACCCCTTCAAGAGGATTATTTGGTGCAGTGTGCAGAAAATGTATTTGATAGTTATTATATAGATGGGTGGTGACACTTGCAATAAAACGGATTAGGGGAAATTATGTGCTATAAGAGTAAGGAAGACATCAGGGAACCTTAATTTTTGAGTAATTTTAATAGGAGAAAGTTAATAGGTTGAGAAGCTCTTCACAAAGTAGAATATTGGATTCAGCCAACCAATGAAACAAAAAACAGAAGCATCTAGAATAAATCGTTAAGGGACATTAAGATAAGGATACTATGGCTTAGAAACTGTAGTTATGTTATGAAATGATAATAATTTATCCGTTGCCTTGTATAATACACATTAAATCCTCTAAGCTGCACACTGGTTTGTGTAGACTGTACATATACACAAAAAATGTCTGACATGACTGGATACTGATGGACCTCCTACAGGGATGTTTACCTTCAGAGAATAAGAAATATATGGCTTATTTACCAGTGAAGTTACATTTCTGCCTTTTTCTCAGTTATGGCATTTTTCTGGCTTGCATTGGCTTCCCACATAAGAGTTACATGTTGGTACTAATAAACGCTTTGTCCTCATCACTTGATTTTGCTCCCAAAAGGATGACAGAAATTAGTAGCGTTGTACAAAATAAGAAAGGATTTGTCAAATATAATAATCAGCCATTTAACTGTAAATCCACAAAGTGTTGCCAGGAAGGTACTTCTGCAGTTACATTATTTTAACTTAAATTCAAGAACTCCCCAAGATATCCTCTAAGAATAATATAATCCAGACAAGCCGGCCTGCTTGAGTTGACATCATTACAGAGCATAATGGAAAATAAATTTAAGAAGTAAAGTGTCAGCTGCAGAAACAACAGAAGAAAGAAAA